CCATTCCTGGGTCAAAGAAGAAATAAGAAAAGAAATTAAAGACTTCCTAGAATTCAATGAGAATGAGGACACAACATACCCAAACTTATGGGACACTTTGAAAGCAGTGCTACGAGGGAAGTTCATAACAATAAGTGCCCACATAAAGAAACTGGAGAATAGTTACACTAGAGAATTAACAGCACAGCTGAAAGCTCTAGAACACAAAGAATCAAACACACTCAGAAGGAGTAATAATCAAACTGAGGGCAGAAATCAATAAAGTAGAAACTAGGAAAACAATAGAAAGAATCAATGCAATGAAGAGTTGGTTCTTTGAGAAAATCAGCAAGATAGAAACCTTTATCCAAACTTAGCAAGCAACAGATTGTGAACATGCAAATTAACAAAATCAGAAATGAAAAAGGGAACATAACAACGGACACTGAGGAAATCCAGAGAATCATCAGGTCATACTTTAAGAACCTGTACTCCACAAAATTTGAAAATTTAAAAGAAATGGACAATTTTCTGGATAGCTATCACTTCCCAAAATTAAATCAAGAAAAGACAAGCAATTTAAATAGACCTACAACCCCTATGGAAATAGAAGCAGTCATCAAAAGTCTCCCAACCCCCCCAAAAAAAGCCCAGATCCAGATGGCCTCAGTGCAGAATTCTACCAGAAATTCAAAGAACAGCTTATACCTACCTATTCTTCTCAAAGTACTCCACACAACAGAAGTAGAAAGGTCTTTGCCAAACTCTTTCTACAAGCCTTCAATAACCTTAATACCCAAGCCACACAAAGACACAACTAAGAAAGAGAAATTCAGACCAATATCCCTCATGAACATTGATGCAAAACTACTCAATAAAATACTGGCAAATCGGATCCAAGAACACATTAAAACAATCATTCACCACGATCAAGTAGGTTTCATCCCAAGGATGCAGGAATGGTTCAACATACAAAAATCTGTTAATGTAATCTACTATATAAACAAGCTGAGAAATAAAAATCACATGATCATCTCACTGGATGCTGAAAAAGCCTTTGACAAATTCCAACACCCCTTCATAAATAAAGGACTTGGAGAGATCTGGGATAACAGGAACATACCTAAACATAATAAAAGATATATACAGCAAACCAACAGCCAACATAAAACTAAATGGACAGAAACTCAAAGTGATTCCGCTAAAATCAGGAACAAGACAAGGCAGTCTACTATCTCCATACATTTTCAATATTGTACTTGAAGTTCTAGCTAGAGCAATAGGACCAAAAAAGGAGATCAAGGGGATACAAATTGGGAAGGAAGAGGCCAAACTTTCACTATTTGCACATGATATGATAGTTTACATAAGCGACCCAAAAACTCTACCAGGGAACTTCTACAGCTGATGAATGCCTTCAGAAAAGTTGCAGGATACAAGGTCACCTCAAGAAAATCAGTAGCCCTACTATATACAGGCAATAAAAGAGCTGAGAAAGAAATCAGAGAAACATCACCCTTTATAATTGCCGCAAACAACATAAAATACCTTGGGGGTAATGCTAACCAAAAAAGTGAAAGACCTGTATGACAAGAACTTTGAGTCTTTGAAGAAAGAAATTAAAATAGACCTCAGAAAATGGGAAGATCTCCCATGCTCTTGGATAGGTAGGATCAACATAGTAACAATGGCAATCTTACCGAAAGCTATCTACAGATTCAATGCAATCCCCTTTAAAAATCCCAGCACAATTCTTCATAGACCTTGAAAGAACAATAATGAACTTTATATGGAAAAAAATACCCAGGATAGCCAAAACAACCCTGTTCAACAAAGGTACGTCTGGAGGCATCACCATCCCTGACTTCAAGCTCTATTATAGAGCTAGAGTCCTGAAAATAGCTTGGTATTGGCAAAAATAGACAGGTATACCATTGAAATCGAATTGAGCACCCTTATATTAACCCATACATGTATGAACATCTGATCTTTGACAAAGAAGCTAAAAATATACAATGGAAAAAAGAAAGCATCTTCAACAAATGGTGCTGGTATAACTGGATGTTGGCTTGTAGAAGACTGCAGATAGATCCATGTCTATCACCATGCTCAAAACTTAAGTCCAAATGGATCAAAGACCTCAACAGAAATCCGGCCACACTGAACCTCTTAGAAGAGAAAGTGGGTGGTACCCTTGAACAAATTGGTACAGGAGATTGCTTCCTGAACATAACACAGTAGCACAGACACTGAAGTCAACAATTAATAAATGGGACCTCCTGAAACTGAGAAGCTTCTGTAAGGCAAAGGACACCATCAACAAGACAAAAAAGCAGGCCACAGAATGGGAAAAGATATTCACTAACCCCACATCTGACAGAGGGCTGATCTCCAAAATTTACAAAGAACTCAAGAGGCAAGCACTAAAGGATCCAATTAAAAGGTGGCCTACAAAACTATATAGAGAATTCTCAATAGAGGAGTCTGAAATGGCTGAGAGACATTTGAGAAAGTGCTCAACATCCCTAGCCATCAGGGAAATGCAAATCAAAACAACTCTGAGAGACAATCTTACTCCTGTCAGAATGGCCAAAATCAAAAAACAGCAATGACAGTTTATGCTGGAGAGGATGTGGTGAAAGGGGAACACTCCACTGCTGTTGGAAGTGCCAACTCATACAGCCACTTTGGAAATCATTAAAGAGATTCCTCAGAAAAATGGGAATAAGCCTACCACAAGACTCAGCAACTCCACTCTTAGGCGTATATCCAAAAGATGCACACTCATACAACAAGGACATCTGTTCCACTATGTTCATAGCAGCATTATTTGTAATAGCCAGAACTTGGAAGCAACCTAGATGCCCCTTAACTGAAGAGTGGATAGAGAATATGGGGTACATTTACAAAATGGAGTACTATTCAACAGAAAAAAATGGAATCCTGAAATTTGCAGACAAATGAATGGCACTAGAAGAAACCATCCTGAGTGAGGTAACCCAGTCACAAAAAGACAAACATGGTATGTGCTCACTCATATATGGATTTTAGACATAGATCTGGGGAGTGCCAGCCTACATTCCCATGGCCAGAGAGTCTGGGAAACAGAACCTTCATCCAATGACTGAGGGAAGCAGAGGCAGACTCCCACAGCTAAACACTGAGCTGAACTCAAGGAACTCAGTGACAGAGGGGGAGAACTGATGAGCAAAGGGATTAAGACTGGGCTGGTTTAACCTCCAGAAACAGCTGGTGTGAACAAGGGGGAGGTCTTGAACCCCAGACTGATGACTGGGAATCTAGCAAGGCACCCTGAGTGTGAGTGTCAGTGAGGAGGCCTAGGCAACCTACGGGGCCTTGAGTAGTAGATCAGTGTTTTTCGCTGGCACGCAAATGGACTTTGGGTGCCCATCCCACAATGAGAGATGCACTCTCACCCTGGAATCTTGGGAGAGGGTCTAGGTCCAGCCCTGGATGAAATGACAAACTATGGACACCCCAATGGAGAGCCTCACCCTCCTTGTGGAAAGGAGGGGGTATTCGGGGAGTTGGTAGGAGGGCATGGAAGGAGGGGAGGGAAAGAGAGGGGGGCCTGGGATTGACACGTGAAGCAACCTTGATTCTAATTTAAATTTAAATATAAAAATTAAAAAACATAAAAAAATAAACTTCAAAAGAAAGAAAGTGGGAAAGAGGAGGGTTGTAGACATGGCTCAACAGTGCAGAGCTGGCGTCTCTTCTAAGGACCCAGGCTTAATTCCCAGCACCCATAGGAGGTTTACACCTAACTGCAATGCAGTTGGTAGTCATCTTGGGCACTGCACACACGTAGGCAAATGTGCGTGATTGTACAATAACAAGAAAGGGGAAGGAGAGAAGAAGAGGAGAGGCTGGCAAAACGATGTGACTGTAACTGTAGGCAGATGAGGCGGTCTGTGAGGTGGTCACCGCAGCTTGGTGACTGTTTGGTCCTGTACATCCCAAAAGAAAACGTCTACTGCTATAGGGCTATGGGGAAGCTTCTCTAATATTCCTGTGACAGAGTCAATGGGAGGACATTTTCTCCTTTTTTTTTCTTTTTTTTTTTTTTGCAAAAGCAAAACCCAAATGAGTGTCTTCACACAACTGTGTCTCAAGGCATACCATAGAGGTTGGGGTCTTTGGATGCTGCTGTCTGGCCTCTGATTATATAGAGAATAAGATGAGCTTTGGCGAGTGGTCCATGTCTGTAGAACTGTCTGCTTGACACCACCAAGCCACTAAATTTTCAAGATTCCAAGATTCTTGAATGTTGCTAGTGAGTAATGCCCATTGTATTTGTCCTAGTGCTTGCCCAGACAGCACAGCAGGAACCTTCCCACCCTCCTGGGCTCTGACTCATCACATTACCCTACAGTACATTTTCTCCTGCATCCTTTCACTGCAGCCTGAGCTGTCAGGACAGCAGCTTTTGTAGCAGTGAGACCCCTCTTCACTATTTGAGGTACTCCAGGGTCTTGGGGACCTATACCAACATCTGTCCCCCAAACAAGAATTGTGCTGATTTCCAGTTCAAACCATTCACATTTCCTCAAGAAACAGTGAGTCTTGACATCTGTCTGTGGTTTGTCCTAAGTCAGCACCCATCTATCGGTTTCTGTGTACTTAGGGTCAATCACTGAACACCAGCACAGCCACCTCTCTTCCTACTTTGTGACAATGCTCCCCCCTCTCATTGTCCCTTTCCTTCCCTCCTGGATTCTTCATCACCTCCTGACCACCTGCACCTGCCCGCTTTGATAAAGGAACTCATTGAGTCATCCAGGTTATAGCACAGGCTGGCCTTGAACTTGAAATATTCTGGGCTCAGCCTCCCCCAAACTATACTGCAGACCTGTGCCACCGTTCGTGGCTCAGGAAACCGTTTCCTCACAACATTGAGGTGGTCATAGGGGAGGTCTGAGGAGGAGGGGAAAGACTGGCTGTAGACTGTGGTCTTGGGTCACAGTGGAGACAAGGATGGGATGTTCCAGGAATCTGAGTGACAGCCACAGGTCTGGTTTATTGGACATCACGCAGCACGAGCTGGGGAGGAGGATGGAGCTGCTGTCCTTGCTAGCGCACGACTGCACAGAGCTCGTAGGGGGTCGGGGTAACAGGCAAGGCGAAGATGCCTTGGTCGCTGGGCCGGGGCTGCCCAGCGGGCACCGAGAAGCTAAAGCGCTGCAGGAGGCAGGTGAAGAAGAGGAAGAGCTCCATGCGGGCCAGGGGCTCCCCCAGACATGCTCTGCGGCCTGTGGGTGGGAGAGGGGCTCAGTCAGTCTGGGGCCTGCTTGATGCTCCACCCTCCAGGCACCCTGGGAAGAGGCAGGGAGCCAGGGGCCCACAGCACCTGCTGAGAATGGCATGAAGGCCTCGTGCTTCACAAAGCGGCCCTGGGCATCCAGGAAGTGTTCAGGATGGAAGTGGAGGGGCTTCTCCCAGACAGTCTCATCCTTCAGCACTGAGGACAGGTTGGGGATGAGGGTCGTCCCCTGGAGGGAGACACACGGTATGGACACGGACTTGGGTGGGGCTGCTGATACCCTGGTTACCATGATCACAAGCACAATCTCTTCCTGCACACTCAGGATTCTCTCATTCACCTCAACCTCAGAGTCTCTCAGTGCCTTTTCTGGAACCATTCAAGGTCCTGTGAGAAAACTACCATAAGTACCCAATTCCCACCTGCCCCTGTGTGCAGTGCTCCCTAAAATACACTGTGGTTTATTTCACTGGACATCCCTCCTCACTGGGGAGTCCTGGGTAATGGTTGTGATGTACTCACACCCACCGTGTTCCCTTCAGCATGTGGAAATCCAGGATGTGGTGGTCTTGGTCTTCACACCCTTAGTTTGCCTGGTTGTGATCCTGTGACAGGGGTGCCCATGCATACCTTGGGGATGAGGAAACCCTGTACTTCGACATCACGGGATGTCATATGTGGTATATTCACTGGGGCAATGTCCCCGAATCGCTGCACCTCGTGAATGACAGCATTGGTGTAGGGCATGCGGGCCTGGTCTGCCATCTCTGGACGCCGCACCTGCCCTATGACATCGTCAATTTCCTGTTGCACGCGGCCTGGAGAGACAACAGCCCCTCAGTGAAGCAGTTCCTTGGTGGGGCTTCCTTAACTGTCCACCACTGTTTTAATAGGGGAGTTAAGACTCCCATCAGAATTGTGGGAATCTGAATCAATCTGATGCTGGAGCCACCAGCTTCTCAGGGACTACTATCTTTCTTCCCTCAAGCTCCCTCCCAGCCCCAGCCAGGCTCACTCTGCACATCCGGGTGCAGGATCATCAATAGCAGGGCCCAGGACAGTGTGGTTGAGGTGGTCACCATTCCTGCAATGAACATGTCAGCTACCACCATACGCAGGTTCTCATCATTGAAGCTGCTCTCAGGTCTCCCCTTGGCCTGGGACAGACAGATAGGGCAGACAGAGACATGGGGTGTGAGGACAAAGAAATCTACCGTTGTGTTCATGTACCCCAGATGTTGGGTCCATGGGTGACATATAAGCCCCACCTGCCTGGCATCACAACTCACCGTACAATGTAGACCAAAGGACCTAGCCCCTCCTTTATGGCTGTCCTCACCTTCTCCACCTCAGCCAGGAAGGCATCTGTCAGACCTCGGGGTGGCTCTGCAGGATCCCAGGTTGTCTTGTGCTCAATCAGCATCTTATATAGGGAATCCATGAATGTGGTTAGCTTGGGGAAGGCTTTGCCTGGCAACCCTGGGATCCGAAGAAGTACTGGGACTGCGTTCAGCACCTGTGAAGAAACAGGTCTATTTATTTTATTTCTAATGAAGAATGATTATTGGACTGGGTACTATTGGCATGTGTTTTTAATCCCAGGGCTCAGAAAGAAGAGGAGTGAGGAACTCTATGATTTCTAGGCCAGCCTGTTCTAGACTTAATTCCAGTACAGGCAAGAAAGCATGACAAAAAAAAACCGTTTTTCAGAAACAAAAATCGTGTGTGTGTGTGTGTGTGTGTGTGTGTGTGTGTGTGTGCGCGCGCGCCGCGTGTAGGAGTCAGAGACTGTGCACAGTGGCTATTGTTTGGTGATCAGAGACAACTTTTAGAGTAAGAGCTATCTCCTCATGGGTCCTAGGGGTCTAGATCAAGTCTCCAGGCTTGCTTGGTAAGCACATTTACACATAGACCATCTTTCTCTCTTTCCCCTAGAAAGTGTAACTGCTCAGTGTTCACATGGACCAGTCTTAGATTCCAGCATCTTCCACAAATGACTCAGAGACAGTTTGTCCCCTCCCATTATCTGCTTCTTCCTCAGTTCCAGCCTGTAGGATGTCTTGTAAACACAATGACTATTCTGTCTGCAAATCTACCAGGCCTGTATGGTTTCCATGTAGATAGGGGGCAGAGCTCACCACACTTCTCGAGCCCCTGACCTTAGTCCACCCCCCTCCCTGCCTGTTATCTCAGGTTTGCCAAGGCCCAGACCTTTCCTCCTGCATTTGACTCTCACACAAGGCCTTCACCCTATTCACCCCGAATGCACTTTCATCTGAGAGCCTTTACAGCACAGAAGTGGCCATGCACACTGCCCTGAGCCTCATACCTCAGCAATGAAGCCAGTGTCCTCTCCAAAACTTTCCTGTAACATTTTGAGCAGGCTGTTGAAGAAAGGGTCTTCATAGTCGAAGCGATGGGCATAAATGAGGGATGAAATCACATTGCATACACTTTTATTCAGGAGGGTGGTGGGATTAAAGGGATGCCCTAGGAGCAGAGATGCAAGCAAGTCATGATATTGCTCAAGAGCGCCTGCCCACATCTCCATCTGATACCCGTCACCCACCAGCCTCCTGGGTGAAGGCGTTACAGAGGTGGCCAGCCTCCTCTGTCACCCACTGTTCCAGTGACTTCTTGCCCACGCCGAAGTCTCGCATGGTAGACACACAGAATCGACGCTGCTCTCTCCACTGGGGTCCATAACGTGCAAATGCCACACCTGCAGTGACATATGTTTACAAACAAGGATACCTGGCTGTCCGTCTCCTCTTCTCCCAGCATTTCCCTGGGGTCAGTCTTAGCCATCAGCGCCCAGCACTTAACGACCACATATCAGCACATGCCATCGTGGAGGCTCCACCCTCCATTTCAGTGACTGTCCCTTCCACTGCCTGACCACACCCCTCCATCAGGCCCTGTCTATCTTCTGTCCACTGCTCCTCAAGCCCTATTCTTCCTGCCTTGTACCCACTACAGCTCCTTGCCTTGAGAGTTGTGCCCGAAACCCACGTGATTAAAGATGGGCACTGGAGGACGGTCAGCGGTGTCCTCTCCACAGTTCACCAGCACTTCCCGCACTGCCTTCAGTCCATTGATTACCACCACAGGCTTCCAGGCCATCTGCAGGCTGAACACATCACCATAGCGCTGTCGGAACTGGAGTAGAGGGACAGAGCACGTAGGAAGGGGAGACATACGGCAGACTTGACAATCCAAGAGCAACACATGTCTGTGTGTTTGTGTGTGTGTGTGCATGCACAGACATGCCTGTGTGCAAACATGAGTTTATTGGCATGATACTCATTATTGAACCTTATTCCTGCCCTTTGCTGGTCAAATGCTCTATCACTGACCAACATCTCTACACTGAGACATGACACCTTGTGATTGGGGTATCCTATCTTCTAAATCCAGCAAAGGTCTCTCAGTAGACATGGTCATTCAGTGATGACCTTGGGAGAACAAGGTCCTTGCCCCATTCATACCCCTCCATTACAGGACAAGAGGAAATTCAGGTTCCTAGGTTGGGCAGCAAGGCCTGAGACCACATAGCAACAAGAGATTGTAGCAGACGTAGGCCCTCCAACTGCTTTTCCTTCCTGAATGACAGACTACACTGGATACTGACTCCTTCCCTATGGCCTTGAGACTTCAGCTACAGATGGGATCCCAAGGGAAATTCGGCCTCCCTGACTTATGTCACTTAGTCCAACCCATCTCCAAACCTGTCTCTGTGGCCTTTTCCAAACTGTGTCTCTCCCCTTAGTAAATCCACAGTGTCCTCAGACACAGAAGTGACTGCCATGAAGAAATCACTGACCCTTCTTCCTCTTGGGGAACGTCATCCTGTCTATCCTGTGGCTTCAGCACCTCTATGAGCTGCTATGGGTACCATGACATCCACTGCCCTTTGCCATCCCTTACCTTGTATAAACTATATGGCATGTGCTCGAAGTCCACCTGCAGCAGGTTGCCCAGTCCAGGTAGTGGCATAGGACCTGGAGGGTAGCGGGCCCTCCAGAACTTGCGTCGGTGCATCAGGTCCACCAGAAGCAGGAAGAGGGCCGTGAATATGACCCCAGACCACAGGCCATCTCCAATCAGCAGTGCCATGGCTGCCCCACTGCTTTCCAGACTGTTTCAGTGACACCCAGGATCAGAAAGACACTCTGAGGACACACTCATCCCCTGGTCCCTTATGAAGGGGGAAAGGCTGCACTTTGCTCTCTGCCTTGAGCCAAGAAGCTGTGTTTACTGTTCATCCAGGTTGTGTAAAGAGAGGTGAGAATGGGGCAGGGAAAGTCAGCTCATAGTTTTCTCCTCCTCTTTTCCCCTCGGGTGCTTATCCATGGCAGAAGCTCAGTTTCTCCCCAGGGAGCATACATAGTGGTTACATAGGGTTGGGCCCTGTGAACCAGTGGACCCTGCCTCAGGTGCAGCAAAGTCAGTGAGACGCATACCACACAGGCCGAGCTCTGAGGGGCCTGTGGACATTGTCTTAGAATTGATCTAAGCCCATTAAAGCTCCGTTGGTGAGTAGGACATGAGGTGTGGCTGGCGTTGCAGACACTATCACTGAGCTGCAAGGGCCACTGAGATGGCGTGTGTGTCTAGCCAATGATGGTGAGGGAGAGGCAGTGTGGGGAAGGCAGCTACAGCCTGGGGAGCCAGGCGTGCGGTCACTCAACTCATGAGGAAGGCCAACCACTCCACCTGGGCACCTCTTAGCTGTGACCTGGGAAAGCAGAAAAACTGTCTATAAGTGTCAAGAGAATCCTGGGGAGGCCAGCAGGATGCCCAGGTGCTTGTCCCAGGGAGGCCACTGTGTCTGATTTTATTCTCCCTTTGCTTCTTGGTGGGTGGAGCCCTGTGTCTACAGCTCTCATAGTAGGGATGGAAAGGGTGTCTTTCTCATACTACACAGGCAGACTTTTGAGGAACTTGTGAACATTGCCACACACTGGGGTAAGACTGTCCTGTAGACTCAAGGAGCACTTAGTTAGCAGGACACAAGGACCTCACAGGCACTGCAGGATACACCAGCTGGCTGTGACAGCAAGTGCCACTGATTGGTTTTGGGGCATGAGGGACAGTTGCAGGAAGGTGACTGCAGCCTGTGGAGTCTTGTGGACAGGTGTGAGGTTGCCGGATTGAGCAGGAAGGCCAGACTCAGAACTGCCACTTCTCACGTGGGATCTGAGAAATCTGAGAAAATGCCAACAAGTGTCATAGAGTCCCTGGAGTCTCTTAGGTTAGGCCAGGGACTGTCACATGGTGGCCTCAGGCTTTTATTCACTGTTTGTTTCTTGCCAGTTTCCTGTGGTTAGGATGGGCAGCCATGAGGAAAATGGAAAGACGACTCTGAGCCTTCCAACAAATGGCACTTGTGTGCTTGCCACTGCTGGGCCGACCACATAACAACTCATCACTCTCTAGGGTTGGGAAAAGGTGCAGTCCCTGTCCTTGCTGGGATCCAGACCTCTGAAAACCAAGGGCTCAGAAGTCCTAGTGGAATCCAGACAGGCGCTCTCTGCTGCACCCGCCAGTGAGGCAGAAGGGAGGCAGGAGCTGAGTTAGAGGGGATGAGCTGAGTCCACACCGTGCAGAACCACAGCAAGGGCAGGGTGTCCTCCTCTCAGCTGCCCGTCCCACCTTCTTTCTGCCCCTCTATGTCTCCAGGGACCTGGGGGCCTCTGTGCTTGTGGCTGAAGCCCTGTCCCACTGGTTCACTTCTTGTTCCTCTCTTTCTCTTGGCCCTGCCCAACAGATTATGGTGAGGTTGGCACCCTGGATTGATGAACACTCAACAGCTTCCTCTAGCTCCATCCTGGCCCCAAAAGCAACGCTGCACAGTATAGGAGCTGACACAATGGGGGGGGGGGGTTAGAAGACCACTGAGGAGCTTAAACAGATTTCTCCTGGGCTGACATAGGACACTTTCAGGGTCAGAGCTGATTCCCGACAGTTTACCCTGGGGGTTAACATCAGGACATGTCCTCTTTAGCAGTCTATCCCTTCTTGCTCATGTAGGACATCATGAAAGAGAAGCAACGGTGCTGACTGGGTGCTGGCCCCAGTGTGGGATGGGCAAACCCAGGCCTGGTTTATCTGCTTCAGGCTAAGTGAGGCCCTGAGAGGCAAGTGCACCGAGCAGGTGAGGGATGTCACTCACTGTGTGTGGTGAAGGGTTCCCGCTCTGTCACCAGCTCTTAGGAGACGACCTGGACGCTCTGGGAAACATCTGCCTAGCACTGTTTGCTTCCCTTCATCCTCAGTCCATGCCTCCTCAGCCATGTGAACAATTGTGCCCTGTCAGGATCAGTGTGACTTCCAGGGGGACTGGGGTCTTGGTATTCATGTCAGCTGCACAGGGGTGCCATGTCTGTAACAGCAAACTGGAACAGAGCCCCTGGTCATCAGGGGCCAGTTGTCATCCTAGATTTGCAGTTCTCTGTACACAAGTCAACAGATAATCACTGTCCTTTGGACTCCACTGCAAGAGGACACACGGAACCTGGCACGTTCTTCCTGGACTCTGTCCCGTGTGCATTTCCCTTTCCTGACCTCATGCCTGGGTTCCTAGAAGTGAGGACCAACTTGAGTCCAGAGCCATTCCTAGGTCTGTGCCTTCCTTCCCTAGCCCCTGTGGGAAGTGCAAAAACAGCAGATTTGGGAAGAGTGATCTGACTCACTGTGGTGACTGCGACTCTGAGAGCCCTGCCTTGGGAAAGCATAGTTTAGGTAAACAAGGCCTTACATTGTTTGGGGTTGGGGAAACTTTCACACCCGGATGGTGACTTTTCTCTCATGGTTTGAGGCCACAGTGGGAGTGTGGTAAATCTGGATAGGATATTGCCTATGGAAGCACAAACCGCAGAACCAACAGTTGAGACGATGTACACTTGGAGTATAAAGAAATGTAAGGACGAGGTATAAGCATTTTGATGGATCAGATGGGATGGACAGAATTGGATTATGGCACCCAGGAGCCAAAGAATACGGAATATTACAGCTGTGATGGAAAGGTATCTTGGAGCTTGGGAGCCAAGGACTACCACAGGTCACAGTAAGCATAGCAGCTTACAGCCTCCTTCAGGGAAAGGCTTCCCCAGTGTATCAGCTCTCCTCTGGCAGGAGAGGGTTTCCCAGGCGAACAGTTCAGCTCCAACCCCCAGGAGAGTGCAGTGTAACAACTGTGCTTTGCCAAGGGGAAACTTTCCTCTGCTCCGCTCTACCCAGGGACCTCTCTGCTCCAGAGAAAGAAGGTCTCACCCAAACCTCATTCAAGAGATTTACTGGGACAGAAGAATCCAGGAGAGTGGCTGCCCTCTGCCTGAACAGACACAAGCTAAACAGACACAGGTTCATAAGGGGTAGAGTTTATCCCAGGGTGGGGATTGGTCAGATTTCAATCCCAGAGTTTAGCATGGCTAGATCTCCTGCTTGGGGATTGGTTAGTTTTCTGCACAAGGTTAGGGTGAAATTTGGCTCTGGTTTCAGGGTCAATATGTGTCTCTTTCTCTGGTCCTTTTTAATCTTTGGGCTCTAGTTTTAGGGCTAGGGTATATTTCTTTCACCAGCTCTCATTGCAGGGACAAAGTGTGTTTCTTTGGCACTGGGTTGGGGGTCAGGGGGCATTTCTTTGGTTCTGGTTGCAGGGCTAACGTGTGTCTCTGGCTCTGCTCAGGGTGTGTTTCTTTGACTGGCACTTTTCCCCTACACTAGGACCCAGAGAATGGTGCAGGGGCCGGGGGTGGGGGTAGACTGCAGACAGCAGCACAGCAGATTCCTGCAGCCAGAAGCCCACACCTGCCCCCCCCGCCGGCCTTCCTAGCCCGGTCCCACTCCAGAAGTGAAAGAACTTTTGCAAGAGCGTGGCATCCCCACTCACCAACGGAAACTGAGGATGGTTCAGAGACCAGGAGAACCGGGCTGAGGCAGGGGCACGGAGCCACACAGGAAATGCCTACTGTAATGGCAGGAAGGGCTCACCACAGGCCACACACAAGGGAAGCAGCCTCGGAAGCCTCAGAAGCCTAGAGGAGAAAATGTGATCTATCAGCCAGCTGAGGGCACTCTAGAAAGAAAGCTGACATGCTCCATGTGACCTGCCAAGCCCCAGGGACTCAGGAAGCCCCACCCACGACGTGATGCAGCTGTGGGCTGGCCCTCTGGCTTGCCAGGGTTAGCTGGGCAGAGCCCATCTGGGGGAAAGAGCACATGTTCTGGGACTTGCCCTTGGCCAGACTGGATTCCAAGTGGGTGATGGGATCTCGTGCCATCGCCTTGGTCCTGCAATCAGGCACTGGGGGTGAAAACGGAGAGATCCGGGAGTCATGGAGGACAGGCTTGCCTTCCCTGTTGTGGCACTGAGGTGAAGGAGAGCCATGGGTCACTGGTTTCCCTGTATGGCACCTGTGTTTTCAGAGCCCCTGCTGTGACCTAGTGGGGAGGATGCTGCTTTGGACTCCAGTTCTGTCTCTTCCAAGGTTATGAAATATTTAATAAAAGAACTGGTTTGCCAAAGAACTGCCAATTAAAACACTTTTTAAAGTGATTACTTGTCAGGAAAGTGCCCATGTGTTTCCACGCTGCTTTTCGATGTGTTTGCCTCTCTGTGTGTTGATGGTCATGCCTTTGCCTCTTGAAATTGAGATAACCTCAGATAACCTCAGTGAGTCAGCCACAGGGAATGAGGTCCACCAAAGCATAAGAGCAGAATGCGGAGGAGAAGTTGTAAGATGTGCAGAAGTTGGGGTTCAAACCGGCTGTAGTGTTTTGAGATTTGGCCTTATGTTGGTTGGCACCATGGTATTCTCAGACAGAGACAGATTACTCTGTCTAGGGAGAGAAGTCAGTAGGGGAGAGCTATGTGATGGTTGGGTTTTTGTTTTTATCTTTCTGGTTTAGTTTGGTTTTTGGTTAGTTGGGTTTTGGTGTTTTGAGCCACAAGTATCTCAAGTCATCTCAGAGAATACACCATTATCTCTCCTGCCACCCAGCCAGGCTCATGCTGCACATCAAGATGCAGGACCAGGAGCACCAGTGTCCAGGTCAGTTGGCAGGCTGGGTGGTCCCCTTCAGATCAGTCATCACATTGTGCAGGGTCTTTGCATTGAAGCTGCTTAAGGATTCCCCTTGACCTAGGCCACGTTGAGAGGGTGAGCTGAGAGGGTCGTGGGTAGAAGCCCACAATAACCTTCCATTGTCTCCAGGAATTCCAGATGCTGGGATAGTATGTGACCCGCAGGCTCTGTCGTGCCTGTCCTTACCCAACACTACAACCCACAACTCTCACCTTTTCCTCCTCAGGCAGGAAGGCACCAGTCAGTTTTCAGGGTAG